GAATGATATTATGTTTGTAGGACAGAGATTAGTCTGGAAGGATGCTACAGCATCAGTGCCAGCACATATCTCGGTAAATCAGAACCTAGCTGTTGAAGCTCTAGAAGAAATTGTTTTTGATAAGAAGCTCAACAATGAGCAACAATGCACACCACAGCAGCACACTGCTTATAGAAGAGTTTTAGGACAGATCAACTGGCTACAAAGCCGGACTCAAGCTCACATCTGTTATCGCTTCAGTAGGTGTGCGAGCAAGGCTGCCAAGCCTACTATCGGTGATATTCGAGAACTGAACAAACTTGTTAGGATTTTGAAGTCTACCGAAGTAGAATTGCGTTTTTGGCCGCTGAAGGGAAATCTCAGAACCCTCGGTTACCCTGATGCTTCCTACAGGAACAATGATGACAAATCATCTCAGAGAGCACATGTTATTTTCCTTGCTGAAGATCGAAATCCAAAGCTAAAGGGAATGAAACAATCAGCCGCAGCTGCTTCTTCCAAGAAGAACGATTTCTCTGAATCCTCTATTAAGGAAACATCATCGAGAGGTAGCCTGGTGGATTATGAGTCTCACAAGATTACGACAACCACAATGTCCACAACAGTGGCAGAGCTTAACGCACTGATGCGTTGCTTTGGTACCTGCCTGTTCCTCAAGGGACTTGGGGCAGATCTCTCATCAGAGACCGTACCTATACATATCAGAACAGATGCGAACAATCTTGTGACAACAGCAGGCACGACACACCTTCCAGAGCAGAAGGAAACTCACCATCTTATACAGATGCTGCGTAAGGAATCCAACTCTGGATCTTTAGATGACCTAGCTCATGTAAGCTCGAAGTATTGCCTAGCTGATGCATTAACAAAGCATTCGGCACAACCTGATGAGCTTATCAAGGCTCTGGAAACAGGAAACTTACCAGAAACAGACATTCATCCACCCTTCCGTGAACTCCTTCAACATAAAGCGTTCATTGTTCGGTGGATTATAGACAACCTTAGGAATGCCGCTACAGCGGTAGCTTTCCTTGGAATTGATGTCTCAACAGAGATTTACCGATTATTTTACTGCCAAGGAACATGGTGGTAGTCTTGTTTGCTGGTAGCACAACCATGTGCTGGATTTTCTATTTAGACTGTTTTTCGTCTAAAAGAAAATTTGTGTCTGCAAGCTGCGTTTTCATCAAGATCAAACATGTTCATGAGAACTATATGTTCTGTATCATCCGCAGCCGCTTTCAGCCTCGAGCTTTACAGCAATCAGCTTTTTGAGCTAACCAAGCATTCCTGATCCTGTTTGGTCATCGTGCCGTAATGAGCACACGATCAAACTTCCGTAGCCGTGATGGACACGCCCTACCAAGGGCAGTACAGGCGTACCATGAGCGACATCCACACATGGATAGCTCTTACCCCGAGTCTCGTCGGGACGCATCACGTCGACACACCGAACACGGTGGACATCGATTTCACAAACGTGAGAAAAATAATGAGCCTCCATACATTTACATGGGTCACCAACAGGTGTTCAATCCGCGTCCAAGAGATCTTGCTGACCTGATCTTACGATGTGGCCATGCGAGTCGAGCAAGGCTCACTCCAATCTCCAAACGTGGAGTTAGGCTCTACGAAGGAGTCCTCCAAGGACCATGGGACAACAGTCCCCTTTTATACTGGGATAACAACGTGGGCAATCACGCTCGTGATCCACGCCAGTTTTGTACGATGCTTGCACATCACCTTCAGACTAGCCTCCCACAGGAGGTAAAACAATGTGTGAGTCTTGATGCATCTGGAGAATATGACTATTCCTCCTCAGTGCCAAGACTGGTAGAGGTAACAGGTCTCTCACCAGAGATGTGCTTCCACATTCTCTCCAAGACGAACAAGGTCGGAAGGTGGTTAGCACACTCAACAAGACACCTTCAGAATCAGCGCCAAGATCTCTTTGCTGGCCAACATAATTATCTTCTGGACATGTCCAAATTGGCCGATGCAGAGCTCGCACAATATTCACCACAAGAGATCGCGCTTGGTGTTCTCCTTAACACCAAGTCCAGGTTCGTGGTCACTATGGTTTATGACCAAGATGGCAGGGCTGAAACAACAGCTGCCGCCGTTACCATCCCACAGGAGGCAAATGTGATGACCATGACCAAACTTTTCCTCTCGGCAGTTGGAGGACACGGTTCACGACGAACTCTAACAAGAGCACAATGAAGGGCTGCATAATTCGGTAGTAGAACATTACCAGACCTGATCTTGTACAGATGATCTCTCTGACCAATATGCATGAGTGTGTGTGCAAAATGAGTGGAGTGTCCTCAGCAGTGTACTTCAGTGCTATACCTAGCATAAATAATATGCTGTTTTTATAATGAGTCCAAACTCCGCAACTGTGACAGTGGGCATAACAGTATATGTGTGAATGTGAGGCCATGCTTCCGGTAAAAGAAAATTAGTGTCTGTTTGAAACCATAAACCTCTAAAGGGGTAGCTCTAACAGGTACCTACAGCAATGGCTGCATGCTCATACATATACATTCCGCTGCCCATTGGCTCACAGTGGTTTTACCATATTGAGACAAGACAAGCTCTCCTTGCGTAGCAAGACCAAACAACTTTACTGTCCGTGTGCAGGGCAGCTTGCCCTTTGTTCCTTAGGAATAACGGTCTTTACACCTCCTAACAAGGAGTATTCCTTGTGGGTGTATCGGCACAAGGGGGGAGGGCGGGGGGAGGGGGGGAGGGGGGGGGGTGTGCCGATACACCCCCAAGGGATACTCCTTGTAAGGAGGTGTATGACCAGTTATTCCCTAAGGATCAAAGGGCAGCGCCCTGCACACGGACAGTAGTTGTTTTGTCTTGCTACGCAAGGAGAGCTTGTCTTGTCTCAATATGGGAAAACCACTGTGAGCCAATGGGCAGCGGAATGTATATGTATGAGCATGCAGCCATTGCTGTAGGTACCTGTTAGAGCTACCCCTTTAGAGGTTTATGGTTTCAAACAGACACTAATTTTCTTTTACCGAAAGCATGGCAGCACATTCACACATATACTGTTATGCCCACTGTCACAGTTGCGGAGTTTTGGACTCATTATAAAAACAGCATATTATGTATGCTAGGTATAGCACTGAAGTACACAGCTGAGGACACTCCACTCGTTTTGCACACACACTCATGCATATTTGTCAGAGAGATCATCTGTACAAGATCAGGTCTGGTGATGTTCTACTACCGAATTATGCAGCCATTCATTTTGCTCTTGTTAGAGCCTTGTGATTCACTATTGTGAAACTCTGAGAATTTTCTTATCTCAGATTCGGATCCAGGTTTGGATCATAGGCTCGAGCATAGACGTTCGGATGTGGCTCATCCGGGTCTGAGTGATCTTCTTCGGA